TCTCATCCACTGTAATCCCCAGGTCCTTTTCTGCAGAACTGCTGCTTAACCACTCGGTCCCCAGTGTGTAGCGGTGCATGGGATTCTTCCATCCTAAGTGCGGGACTCTGCACTTGTCCTTGTTGAACCTCATCAGATTTCTTTTGGCCCAATCCTCCAATTTGTATAGGTCCCTCTGGAGCCTATCCCTATCCTCCAGCGTATCTACCTCTCCCCCCAGTTTAGTGTCATCTGCAAACTTGCTGAGGATGCAATCCATCCCATCATCCAGATCACTAATGAAGATGTTGAACAAAACCGGCCCCAGGACCCACCCCTGGGGTACTCTGCTCGATACCGGCTGCCAACTAGACATCGAGCCATTGATCACTACCCATTGAGCCCGACAATCTAGCCAGCTTTCTATCCACCTTATAGACCATTCATCCAATCCATACTTTTTTAACTTGCTGGCAAGAATACTGTGGGAGACTATAGCTTTGCTAAAGTCAAGATGTATCACGTCCACTGCTTTCCCCATATCCACAGAGCCAGTTATCTCATCATAGAAGGCAATCAGGTTGGTCAGGCATGACTTTCCTTTGGTGAATCCATGTTGACTGTTCCTGATCACCTTCCTCTCCTCCAAGTGCTTCAAAATGATTTCCTTGAGGACCTGCTCCATGATTTTTCCAGGGACTGAGGTGAGGCTGACCGGTCTGTAGTTCCCAGATTCTCCTTCTTCCCTTTTTTAAAGATGGGCACTATATTTGCCTTTTTCCAGTCGTCCGGGACCTCCCTGGATCGCCATGAGTTTTCAAAGATAATGGCCAATGGCTCTGCAATCACACCAGCCAAGAAGTGATGCTCACATCTTCGTTTTAGAAGGCTGGAAGATTAGAAGAGCGTGTCTGTTTTACAAGAAGCGTTGGTTGCTGAATTTAGGAAGTTTTTTTTCCCTATTCGCTGCTGCCAGTGTGTTTATGATTTTTTTTATTATGCTTGATAGCTGTAAATGTACCCAGAGAGTTGGCCATTAGATAAGTATTAACAATACTAACACAGTAAATGAATAAAAATAGCATGAATTAGACTGTCTGCTTTTTCAGAGAGATAAAATTGTAAAGCATTGTCAAAACTTTAGGTACCCAAGTTATTGAAGGGAGAAATAATTCAGTTTCCTGTACTGCTGTAATAAATGTAGTTCTCTGTTCTTGCACTTCCCCTGTTTTATTTTGAATGAGACATGCATGCTTATAAAGATACCAGCAGCAAGGGAAATCAGCTAGTCTAAAATCAGGTCATCTGGTGAGAATGAAGAAATTGGCTTCATTTCTTGACTTTTATTTTTTTAATTCAGTGATGCTTTTAATGCACCCATTTCCTGGGGCATCTATAGCTGGGATTGACCTTGTGGATCATTGGTAATTTAGATCCAAAACTGTCCAGAGAATGACAGTTTGTTCATGTGAAACATACTTTGTTGTATCATACTTTGCCTTTTTCAGAAGGTTGTTTCAATGGGTTGTGCAAAATGCAAGAGAATATAGCCAGCTTCCTAAGAGGCATGGTTTCATAAAGGTTATATAATAGCATGCTGCAATTTCATGGTACTTGGTCTGGTACCTGATTTCTTTTCAAATCTCATAAGCTGACTATGTAAGAAATGATACTGGAGACTGTCGTGTAGTCACATAGCAGTCTGATATTGTCTCACAAATCCCTGAGTTACAGCATGAGGACTCTTATTTGACTGAAACATTTCAAGGCCGCTGACAGCAGTGACAAAACTCTTCAGATCGTCTCCCTGGTCCTTTTGCAGAGAACAATAACAGTAAAATTACAAATAAACATATCAAGAAATATTACCAGCTGGGTCCGAAATATTAAATGGAAAGAAAGCAGGATAGTTTAACCAACACAGTGCATCATTTAAGAGACTTAATCCTGCGTTGTATTAGGAAATATTTGTAAAATTTCCCCTAGTTACTAGTACTAGATGTAAGAGGCTTTAAATACAAAGAGTTCAGTGTTTTTCATAGTTGTTTTGAGAGTCTAAATTCAGCATTGTGTGGGACTGAGCACCTGCCAAGAGCGTAGACCATGCAGTGACAAATAGGAAAAAGGCAAATCTTTTCATTTGTATATCTCCAACAATTCTCAGCACTCTTACTCATAGTGAACACATATTACCACTCTCTCTAGCCACTACATGGCCTTCATTAGCATCATGACCTTGGCTGTTTTATTAAATGTTTTTGGTTTTTATTTAACATTTTCTATATTGAGATTTTCAATGTTTTTACAATTTAAGAATACAAACACCATATTTCGACAAAGAAAACTGTTTTTTCTAGGGTTATATCATTGGTCTGTTGATAGTAAAAATATTGCTCAGGATTTTCAGAGTAGATGCCTGCTTTTGCTATGCACCGGCAGCCATCAGTCAGAAGTTGCAATCTTAAACATCTTTCAGCCCCTAAGGGCTAAGGGACTGATCCACTCCCCACTGAAGACAGCAGAAAGACTCCCACTCATTTCAGTGGGAGTTGGATCATGCCTTTAGTCACAGGTGCCAGCTTCTTCATTTCCCTGGTGGTGCTTGATCCCTGTTCTGCCCCCACTCCACCCCTTCCCTCAAGGCTCCACCCTTGCCTCGCCTTCTCCCACTCACCGCCTTTTCCCACCTCTGCCCCGTCCCCTGATTGTACTACGCCCTTGCTCTGCCCCTCCTCCTGCATGCCGCTGAACAGCTGATCGCGGCGGGCAGGAGGTGCTAGGGGGAGGGGGAGGAGCTGATTGGTGGGGCCTGCCAGCAGGTGGGACACACTGGGAGGGGTGGGAGAGGAGCTGATTCGAGGGGGCTGCTGGTGGGCACTCCAGCCCCAGAGCACCCACAGAGTTGGTGCCTATACCGTTAGTCCTTAGGGAATAAGGAGAGGGGAATATTGTGTGTAGGGCCATCTAGTGATCTTAGGAAAGGCAGAACAGAATTATAGTGAGCAATTTGTAATTTGAATAAAAATGTTTTCTGATTCTCCTATTACATCTAGCTGGTCAGTGACTTCTGCCCTGGAAAAGAGATGAACTGGGCAGCCCCATTAGAAGCTATTTCAGTCGGGGGAGTTTCTGCATTTAAGATGCAGTGGTGCATTCATAGCAGCAGAGCCCAATGGTTTCCTGGAGTTTCTGTGAGCTCTGTGCTGAGACAGGAGCTGGGCGGTGGTTTTGTATGTAACACAAGTAAAAATAAACAATTGTTTACTGTAATAGCAACCCTGTGGCTTCCCTATAATTTGGAGGAAGCATTTCAACTTGTTTTTAAAAGCCTGCTGTTCTTATTTTGCCTTGATGTATACATAGCACATTGAAAATGAATGGTTAGAAATGGAGCCATATTACAGACAGGTTAAGAGACCTCCTGTACTTCACTTATGCTAAGTATACAATGACATGGGACTCAATAGTGAGATGCCTTTCCTTTCCACACTGTAGAATAAAGGGATGGAAGATGCTCCCTTACTTCCTTGTGCAGACTACGTACACCACAGATGTGTGTGTGGGAGGGAGAGCAGCTGCTGGGGGTTGCTACTCACTCCTGTGCAGATGGGGAGGGACAGGAAGGGGTCTGAGTGGAGCCTTAGCTATGTTAAAACAACAGTATTTAGGTGGCAGAGTCAAGCAAAGTTAGGAAATGCTGAATTTAGCTTGCCTGTGCAACCTTAATTCCAGCCCTTTGTGCATATGCATTATGATATTTAATCACATGATCACATACTATTTTTCGCATGAGTCATTTTCCTGGCATGGACCCTATTAAGGCTTTAGTGTGATCAATGTGCTTGGGAAGGGTGCACGTTTTGTGCCGGGAGCTGATTGGCATGGTTCTGTAGATGTTTTTTTCTTGCTGGGGTGGTATAGAATGGTTTGTTTGCAGGTTAATATGATGTGATTCTTGAAAACTTGCTTTTTTTTTTTCCTTTTAAGTTTTTGTGCTAGATTTTCTCTGGGATGTTCATGCACAGCTCCCACTAACTTTCATGGGAAATGTGTATATGTATTCTGAGGGTAGACCCTGGCTAAGTCAGTTAAATAAAACCATGACTCCTGCATACTTTTTATTTTATGTTCTTCTAATCATTTATGGCATCTGTATTTAATGAGCTAAAATAGCAGCAATTAAACACAAATCCTCATTATATTGTGATAGCATACCATAGCTAATAGTGAGCTGGACATTATATTCTGGACTCTTCATGTTAGATATTTATAATTTAGCAGCATATTTTGTTTGGATTTAAATATTTCATGCTTGGTCTCAGTCCAATGGTTCCTTTTTTTAAAGTTTAGCCAAAATCCCTTTTAGCTTTTACAATTATATAAGTATTTAAAAATGCATTTTTAACAAAACCTAGAGAATTCCAAAATAGCTTTGTCTTGAAAGATCAGACTTAACATGTATCTTGTCTTCAGTGATTCTTTGCAAAATCTTCAAAATGTGGCTTGAAATAGAAAAGGTCTGAACGTTTGACCAAGACACACTTAAGCATGCATAACTGGCCACTTTCATTACCAGTTTAACTGTGTATATTCAAGAGCAGCAGAAAGACAAACCAGTGCCCAACAGCACCCCCTTAGTACTACTCCTGGACTACCTCCCGAATTGTCAGTACAAAATAAATTCTTTGTCTCTGTTTTATTTAAACCCAGGAAATTAAATCCTAAACTGTTAATGCAGTATTAAGAACTGAGGGCCAAATTTGATCAGTTACACCTGTGCAACACCACTGACCACAATCTAGAATAAGTGAGGGGCAAATTTGATCTTCAAAATGGTTTTTCAAGCAAGGGCTTGGAGGCAGTCTTTAGGCAGATTTCAGCATAGTTGTGGACTAACTGCTGTTTACTCCAGTTACTGTCCAATATAATTTTGCTTTTACGTGTGTCTTTTTTTTTATTGCTGGATAATTCAAACAGTTCTTTATTTTATTAACCTTGCTTTCCTTTGATATTTTCCCCAGGGCCAGCATCTTTTTGAAAAATTGCTAGAACTGGCGTCTCGAAATATTGAGATAAAACTAGTGAGCGATATACTGCCCACCGAATCAAAGGTATTAAACGACTTGAAAACAAAGGGTAAGACCAAGGTCTTTACGTTATTATACCATTGACTGCTATAATAGCATAACTCTCTTCTTTCACTTAAAATGCTGTTACTTCATAGACACAAATGAAATATATGTAAAACTAAACCTATTTGTTTAATGGTGATACCCTATAATTCTTCAGCTTACCCCGGCTCAGAGTTTTCATTCATCTTCCAAAACTCTTTTATCACTTTAGATGGAGCAGATATTGGCAGTTCGTAAGTGGTAAAAAGGTGGCCATGTGATTACAATTTTAAGTCATCGCAACCATACTAATGGTAGGCAATGCAACCTGAAAGAATTATTGCACTCTGGGATGAGATATTCTTCTCTTTTGAGGAATAGTGAAACAAATAAAATAACATGTCAATGGTATTGACGTAACTTTTGCCAAATCCTGCCATCAATTTCTATGCAAAACCCCAGTGACTTCAGTGGGGGGTCCTCATGCAATTGATGGCAAGATGCAACCTGTTCTATAATGAGCGACTGCTTTGTTATCTGATTTTTTCTGTTAACTGCAATGTATGTTACAATGATCTCTCACATATACATCATGCATTTCATTGTGAAATATTCTAAAGCTCTTTAGAAACTGAAAAGTACACTGTCTTATCTGAAATCTATCCAATTTCAAAAATGTAAGTTAAATGTCGCTTCAGGTACTACACCTGTCTCTGAGGCCCTGCTGACCTTTGAGCTTTCGCAATCAGTTTTGTATTTTTAAAAAGTGTTCTGACTAACCAAGCAGGGGCAACTTGCTGACTATTCATGAGAAATAATGAAACTGACTAGATAGAAAATGTCAAATGTACAAATAAACAAACTGGAAAAATAGAGAATGTTTTAAATCTCTTTCAGTTTTAGTAATCTTAGGTGTTACTTGAAGCAAAAGTAGAACAGTGATGTAAAAAAATCTGCTAGAAGTGGTGGGTTTTTTTTAATTTCAGGTATAGTTTTAAATTGAAAAGCAAACTCTCTATATGAATCCTATCACCCACCTCTGAAATGCAGAAATCAGCAATTGTTCAAGGCACTAATTTAGCAAAGCGCTTAAGCATATGCTTAAGATTAAGCATGTACTTAAGACTATCCCTGTGTTGTAAGAAAAGAAGTGAAGAATATTTTTCTAACTGAAAACTGTTAATTTGTATTTTATGAAGTTTCTTTTAATCTGATGATTAGATATGGAAAAAGAGAAATATTAATGAAATTCTTGCTTTGCTAAAAGAGATCACTTTTGATCAATTCTGAAGTCTGATTACAATATAATAGCAATTGCAAATATGTCACATTGCCATGATATTTATTCCATTAAGACTGTGAGAAGAATCTGGATGTCAACCAGTGCGAGACTCAGACACTCCCCAAAATATGTTTGCAGCTAGTGAATCAATGGGGTTTCTCTTCTCACAGATTGGAAAAAAAGGGCCCTATATTGTATCATAACTAGCATAGCTCAATAGCTTGAGTGGCAAGAGGGGCTAGCCACCTCGACTCATCCAAGATGCTAGGCATGTATTTGGGAAAGTTAGCCAGTCCTCCTGCTCAGCGTGCGGTCGCTACACCCTGTTTTTAGCACATTAGCTCAATCATAGCTACCACTGGTATGTCTTTTTGAGCTGGGGATTGCACCCCCAGCTCAAAGAGTAGACATACCATTTGAGAGAACGGGTTCATTTCTCCATGATCAGAATGTCTCAGATTCTTTCAAGCCAGCCAGTCATAGAGATGGAATCTGTACATTTGCATTTAAAATTTTGTCATAATTAGCCAAGAACAAGTATCTCTATGTTGCCCCACCAGAGGATATTTGCAGGAAAGCCCCTAGTAAGTAGGCTGAAGGATCTAGAGTTATATCTAGATCTGTGATTTTTATAATTACATTTGTTTGAGTTACAAAAACTTTGGATTTGGGGATATGGCCACTGCTAATGATGTTGCTGAATGCCTCCTTGCCATACATCCACCAGCAGTGTGGAGGAATAGATTCATAGATTCCAAAGCCACAAGGCACCACTGTGATCATCTACTCTGACCTCCTGCATCACATAGGCTATAGATGTGCCTCACACTAATGCTTGTTTGATAAAGTATATCTGCTAGAAAAACATCCAATCTTGATTTTAAAATTGCCTGTGATGGAGACTCCACTATGACCATTTGGTAGATGATCCTATGACATTTAATTTTGAAGGAATAAAATGGAGTCTGTTGTGAGAACATTCTTCTGGTGGTTTATTCTCTTTGAGGCACCAGGTGATATTAGAATGTAACATCAAAACTGGAACTGTATTCTTTAAATGAACAATTAAAAACTTCAGCAAGGAGGGGAATTTGCAGTAAGGATTTCGTCAAACTGTGTTGCAATCTCATCAGGGCTGCAAGCTTTTCCTAAGTCTAAGGATTTTATAACTTTGCTAGCTTCAGTTTCCTTTGTCTCACTCAGGTTTCTTGGACAGGAATTTTTTAAATATTCTAATCAGTTTGTGGATATGTCAGTTGACTGTTCCTTGGATTCTTTATCATTCAGAAGTCACTTGTATCTGATCATTTTTGTGTATCAAACTACAGTCCTGTGTTTGGAGTGTTGTAAGTGAGGAAGGAAGACATGTCAAGTTTTTTTCTGTCCTTTTCCAAGACATACTAAGGCGTTGTTGGATTTCTCATAATGAAATCTTGTTTTTCTTATTCCATGTTTGGTTTGTTTGTTTCTGCTAAGTTGCAATATCTTTGTGGGAATGTCTTGATTAGGAATCAGTCTGTGGATGTTTTCCAAATGTGCTAATTGCCCATAAAACTGTTTCACTTGTGTCTGGGCTAAATTTTATCTCCAGGAAGCTAGGGAAATCATTTCCCCCTAATTATCACTTCTGCTGCCTCCCAGAGAAGATGTAGGTTAGTTTCTAGAGTGCCATTAATCAGTTATGGTGATTTTTATTGCCTTGTTGAAATTAACGGATCTTGTATGAACAGGTGATTCATGGTCCATTCAATTCTATATGTACTTCTTGCTCCTATCAACTAGAAGCTAATTGGTACATGAGCAGAAAGAGAGATTTCTCCAGTGCTCTAATGCTTTTAACAAAAGCACAGTGAATGGGAGAAAATATATATATACACATATGTGTGTATATATGTATATATGTATTCTCCCATTCACTGTGCTTTTGTTTTTATATATATATAAACTATTAAATGAACAAATGTTCTGCTGTCCATTGCAGGCACAGGTGTGATTATCTCCTAGTCCTGCCTTAGCAATTTGCTTTGAAAGGCATTTCATTTTTTTCTCTGCCATTTACCCTGCCAGATCTGTCTAAAGGAATTACTAGAATCTCCTCTCGTGATACCCTGGCCAGCTGCATCCCTAGAAATTAGTCAGATTTGACTCTTTAAAAAGACCTGTGATTGTTCATTTGGAACATATGTATAAGTATAATTTGGTCTATTGTTGTTTTCCCAGCCAGTATAAGAACTCTGTCTTTTGTGTCTAAGGAAGAACACTGCATGGCAGATGGTACTTTTTTATTTATAATAATAATAATAAACATCCCTCTTGTCTGGAGAGATATAAAGCATTAAATACATCCAAAACCCATCGCTTCCTGAGTTTTTCATCTTCCTTGGAGAATGCTTTAGTCTTGTGTCAAAAGGCAAGATCAGTTTTTAGGGTTTTTTAGATAGGAGAAGGTATGTTTATCTTTGCACAGGATTGACATTCTTTTGACATTAGGGAGAAAATTTTGTAAGACTCCATGAGAATATCAAAAGGGGTAGTTTTGTCCTCCTGTAATATTTGAGATGCAGCACTGATCAGTTTTTAGTTCTGATGGTTTGGAAAATATGTTTTATAGTTTTACTGTTGCATATTTGATAACTACTGCAATCAGATTTGTTTTTCAAAAAATCTTCCACACTAGTGCTGCTAAATTTTGGAACGAATGTGGATTGTTACCAGATGTTAAATGGTTTATTTATGATGGTGTGTATGTAGGTCATACAAAAAGATTTTGTGTTTATCAGAGTTGTCCAGACAGCCAGATTATGAGTTTCTAACAGAACTGTAACAGATGAACATTTGTCAATAGCTCATATCTACAACAGGGTAGAAAAAAGTTAAAGGGGAATTATAAGAAAATAGGGGCCATGTTTCTTTACAGGCAGACAGTGAGCTGGGTTCAGATTGAAATTTCTAGCCAGAGACATGGACAAGGCAGGTGGAGGCATGTTGGCAAATATAGGAGACAACAGATGTACAGAGGGAAATAAGGGGGAGAGCTGTGTGTTCTCTTCCTGTAGTCTGGGCACTCAGTGCTCTCCCAATCCCTCATGTTTTGCTGGCTGGTGCCTGGGTAGAGGGCCACTCTGCCTCCAGTCCCAGCACATACCTGCTGATGTGCTGCCTGGAAGCAGTTGGAGATGCTGCAGCCACGGCCTCCCAGCCATCTACAATAGTGCTGCTGTCATTGAAGGTTCACTCTGCTCCTTCAGCAGGGACCCATGAGAAGCAGAGAGAGGTGCTAAACAGCAGGAAGCTGCCAGGCCTCTTCCTGTTCAGTAATAGGGAGAGGTGTGAATTGCTGTGGGGGTGGCTTTGCTGAGCCCTCACCCAACCCCTGTAGCTTTACCCCAAAACCAGCAGGAGCCCCAGCATGGAGCCCAACCCATCCAGCCCAGGAGCCTTCCCTCATATCTACCTGATTCCCTGCCAGCTAAGGGGAATTTTGGGAATTAGTTGCCTGGGCCTCTGAAGTAAGCGTATGATGTTGGGAAGGGGAGGAAGAAATGGAATCTGGGGACAGAATTTAATTGATTGGGCAACAAGAAGCAGAGAATACATGAATGGGAGAGCAGAATTGAACTGACTGAGAGGGAGACCGAATAAAATGATTTCATTTCTCTCCCCCAACCCTTTGTGTGTTACTTAACTTCCCGGACTGCAAACTCCTTGGAAGAGGGTCCGTGCCGTCTTGCTGTCTGATCCTG